AAAAAAAAAAAAAAAACCAATTAAGACTTAGTGAAGATGACATTTCCTTTAAGACAACTTCCCCGAGTCCCCCACGTAGAATGAACATTCCTTCCATCTCCGACTGTCATGTGCCAAATTACAGGACAACACTTTTAATGCTCCTTTTACATACTTATTTCCTTTACTGACTGAATGTTCCTTGAGGATAGGGACCTATTTTATTCATCCTTTAAGACTACTTTGTGCCTAGTACATAGGAAGTACTCATCAAACATTAGCTCCATGAAAAAATTAAAGACTACTCCTGTCTCAATTTCCTCATGACAAATTTTATCTGTGAGAGCCTCCTCCAATCTTAAATTGCTAATAAAATCCACTAAATCCATAAATTTCTGGAAATTCTTATAAACATTCTACTTTCAGATTATGTCTTTTCTCCCAGTAGGATCTCAAGAGAAAGGATTTTTCATGAAGCCTTTAAAAAATGGGTATTTTATGCCATTTGTATTATCCCATCATGTAAAGTTGACCCCATGACTTTAGGTTACCCTAAAAAGCACACTTTGCTCAGTGATTGTATAAAAATATGACTTTAATTGATGACTCCAATGTAATTCCCTGCATGCTTTATCTTCAGTCTTTCTGGTAAAAGAGACAAGAAGGAAAGTTGTCTTACTTGTTTAGTATGTCACTAGGAAATTATTTTATTACCAGGTAAATTACAGGATCCACAATATTGTAATATCCAAATTACCTCCAAATATTCTGATTCTCCCTCTCTGCACATGTATTTCTTTTTTTGCCCAACTCAATTTTAAATATCATAAATTCTGGTCAAAACTCCAGTCTCGCTGGAGATTATGACACTGTAGTTTATGTAAGGACCCCTAATACTACCCACCTCTGAAATTTCAAAATATGAGACCAAATATTTTGTCTGAAATAGCATCTGTTGAGTAGAAACAGTTATTAATAGTTATCACTAGTGTAAACATTGGAAAATAGTAGGGTTCAAGATTTTTTTTAAAGCCATAGAAAATAGATTCATTTCATAATTGAGGATACAAAGTAACAAAGTCATAATGTTATTCTCTGACAATTCAAATGTGGAAGAGAGTAGTATTGAGTTCTGGGTCCCCAGGTACCAGGTATCATTAGGTCTATGCCAGCTGTCCACATTAAAATAAAAGAATTATTAAACTAATAAGCCTTCCAGATTATCATTGCTTTGGTTTTATATATCCTCTAGAAATGAGCTAGAAATTAAAACTATATAAGCTAGGAAAATATAATGTTCTCATGAATTGTTTCCCAATAATCATTTATAACAAATAAAGTGAAGCCGAGCAAGGCCAAACACCATCAGCAGGTTAAGGCAGGTCCCACCTGCTCAGTTCAGGTTGGATGGTGTTAAGGCAGGTCCCACCTGCTCAGTTCAGGTTGTCTTAATGAAGAGCTCTTTACAATACCTGGTGTTTTGTTTGGGGCGGGGGGGTGGGCAGGGAAAAAGACCTGCAGTGATTATGGAAATCCATAGCCCTAGTCATCCCAAGAATTCCAACAAAATTATCAACAGTAGGACGGCATATTTTGATGATCTTTACTTGTAAATCAAAGCATTATTTTAGCTGTAAAATATCAGTTTGGCAAAGGGGCTCCCTGGTTAAGATGTTCTTTCTCCATTTATTTTCTACTTGAATTGATGATAGCCCCAATAACACTAACATACACAAACCTCAGAATTTGACTTAAAAGGGTGATAAATTAAATCACACTTGTAAACCTATAAGCATATTGCAAATAATCCAGATGCTTGGTGGTATGACTACATATCTCCAAATGCCTGGATTGAGTTGGTATAGTTAGACTAGCCTTCACTGTGTGACCTTGGACAATTATTCAACCTGTATGTGCCTAAATTTTAGCATCTATAATTACGTCATACACTATGGTATGCACTGGCCACATCCGGCTATTGACACACTTGGCGGATTTTAATTAATTTAAGCTCAAATTAAGTGAAATTAAAAATTCAGTTCCTTAGTAGCACTTGCTACATTTCAAAGGCTCAACAGCCAGATGTGGCTAGAGGCTACCATCCTGGATAGCACAGACCTAGTAATAAAAATAAGACAATATGGCTGGGAGTAACGAATGTGATCAAGGGAGCAGGAACAACTATGTTAGATTAGGTGATCAGAAAAGGCCTCCATAAGATGTTGGCATTTGAGGGGAGACTTGACTAACAAGATGCAGCTAGAATGCAAAGATCTGCATACAGCATCCAAAGCAGAGATAAGAGCAAGGGCAAAGGCCTCAAACACAAATAAGCCTGACTGGTTTAACAACAAACTGTGTGTGAAGCACAAAAAATAAGGGGAGAGTAGTATGAGTTGCAAGAAGTGGCAGGAGGCAGGACCTCAAAGGCCTTTAAAACAATATAAGAACTTTGGAACTTCTATTAAGTGCAATGCAGAGAGTTACAAAGGGGCATGTTATGACCTAAAATGCCTTTAAATGTTCATTCTGTTTTTGAGAAATAATTACAAGAAACCAAGAGTGGAAGCTGGAAGATCTATATGAGAGGCCTGGTGCCATTGCCCATGTAAATGAAGAGCAGGGGAGTGGCAGGGGGATAGAGAAAACCTGTTGTTTCCTCTACATCCTCTGTCCTATATCTATTATCCTTCACACCTGGCTCCTTGAAAAAGTCAACTTCCTTTTTTTAGCTCCTCAATAGCCTGTAAATATGCTTTCTGCCTCCACCAATGCACAGAGACTGTCCTAAGGCCCCAGTCACCTCCACCTTCCTAAAATCAGTGGGCACTTTTGCACCCTTACCTCAACCGACCTCAGCTGCATCTGCAGCTGCTGACCGCTCTTCCCCTTCATCAAATCCTCTCCTCTCTCCACTCCTGGGTATTGCTCTCACCTCGTTTTCCTCTCTTTCTCAGGCTTCTTCCCATTAACCTCTACATGACTCTTATACACCAGGCTCCTCTAAGGGTGCATATCCAGTACTCACTTCTCTGCATAATCTTTGAGACTGAACTGACACTTTTGGCTGGCAACTCCCAAACTAACACCTCTGGCCGGGGATCCTTACTAAGTTTTAGACCTCTAGGTCTAGTCACTTTGACATACCACAAACATCTCACATGCAAAAGGGTCCAAATATCTCCTTCACCCTCTCTCATTAAACACCCTTGCCCAAGCCAAAGGCATTCTCAACTCTCTCACTCATCAGCTAGGACCCATCACCAGATCTTCACGAGGTGCTGTACAGATTCTATCTCCTTGATAGCTTTCCAACCCATCTCTTCCTCTCAAGTCCTGCTGAAGCTACCTGAGTTCCGGCTCACGTTGCTTCTTGAGGGACTGCAACACCCTCCCCCGCCTCCAATTTCCCTGCTTCCCATCTCACCACACCGCGACCAAAGCACCTAACAGGTATCCAAACACTTTGATGAATAGAAGTACAAACCTGCCCATGTCCCTTCTCTGCTGAGAAGCCTTTCTAAGACATCCCACTGCTTCCACAGGCTTCTCGTGATCAAACACCTTTATAGTGGGATGCAGCTCTCCCACATCCTCCTCTTCAGCCAAGCAGCAATTCTTAGTTTTCTAAATGTCACGTCATCTCAGGCCTCTCTTCCTCGGCACATTCTATCACGTGTCCCCGTGTATCTAACCAACCACTACTTCAAAGGTGGGCTTGAGTATCGCCACTGCAAGGAGTGTCTGCTAGTGCCAGATACGTACACATATATGTACGTGTGTGTATACATACACATATATGTGTATGTGTGTATACATACGTGTGTATGTATGTATGCATGCAAATACATGTGTATGTGTGTGCATATATACATATATGTGTGTGTATATATATATCACACCGAATGGTTGCTGTTAATTTGTCCCAGTAAACTTTAGCTCCAAGAGGGCAGAGACCACCAACCTCATTTGATCTGCAGCCCTACTTGATGCGCACAGATTTGGGATCTTCTACTCACAGGGCACGGAGCATATCCGGTGGACCCCTCCTCACCATCCCACTACAGCACAAAACGACAGCACTGTACCACAGAACCGAGTATCCTGCAGGGGGGAGATGCGAGGACGAAACCAATAAACTGCACAACGCACACCCCTTCCACAGGGGCAATGTGGAAGATTCTGAGAAACTAAGCCATACCTCATACACCAGACTTGGGGTTTGATACTACCTGGGCTGGGGCTTGTTTAACACGCTTTTGATGATAATCACAGGGGGCAGGCGTCTCGTCTCCCTAAAGGAAATCAACTTTTCCGGGCCCTCGCACTGTAATTTTGGTTCCTGCTACAGATTCGCGCTCACTTCCTGGCAGGTTTTCCTTATTTGGGAGACGCTTACTCACCGCCTCAGGAGCCACTCACTTGTCAATCGTTTATTCTGTACATCTGCATGGGGGGGGGGGGGGAGGGAAGGGGCTGGAAGACGGGAGACCGGGCGGTGAGCAACACTTTCTCGGGAGGGAGGGCGACACAAGGCCCCAGTCCCAGGCTCGGGGCGGGGAGGCGGAGGCTGTACCGGGGGCAGCGCTGACAGCTGGCGAGGCCCGGGAGGGAGGATGCGACCGCGGGGCCGGCGGGCTGCAGGGGGGCGGGGGGGTGGGCAGGGGGGCGGGGAGCGGGGTCGGCAGAGGCGACCGGAAGCGCGGCGCGGTTCTGACCAGAGGGCGAGCGGCTGAGGAGAAGGCTGGGCGGCAGGAGGACGACACGGACGCCGCCAGGGCGGACGGAGCTGCAGGACGAGGAGGGCCGGGGATCCTCGCGCGGGGGGACGAGGGGCCCCGCGCCCGCCGAGCAGCGGCCGCGGCGGGGCGGCGCGGGGGACGGGAGCGGCAGGCGGGGGGCACTTACTGGGGTCCCTCCGCACGGCGCCGCTGGGGGTCTCCTCCCGCAGGTGAGGGAAGAGGAAGTCCCGGGCGGCCTGGAGGTCCTGGAAGTAGCAGAACTGGACAATGGAGCACGCCATGGCTCCGGGAACCCCGGCCGGGCGCCCACCTCGCCTCACCTCACCACGCCCTGCCGCTCCCCCACCGCCGCCCCTCGGCTCCCACAGCCGAGCCCGCACTGCCTCTCGCCGCGCAGGGGCGGGGACTCCAAACCGGAAGCTGTCAGCGCGCGCCGGCCCGCCGCCCCGGGGAGCTGCGCCTGCGCGGGCCGACCCAGGCGCCCCCGGGGGGGCGGGGCGGGGCGGGGCGGGCGAGGTCCGAGTCACGTGGCCGGCGGCGGCCGCCGGGGGAGCCCGCGTCGACGTGGAGGCTGCGCGCCTGCACCCGGGAACGAGCCCTGCTCGTGGTTCTGGCTCTGAGCCACGGGTGACCTCATGGGACGTCGTGCACGCCAGCCCTGGAGTCGTTTGGCACGATCCTGCTGTTCCGGAGAAGGAGCCCCGTTACGGCGTCGCGCAAGCATCGGAGTTGGCAGCGGAGACGTCCTCGTCTGGAGGTCAGCTCCGGGCGGACCGACTCCCACCTGCTCCCGCTGTGGATCCCCGTAGTACTCTGCTCGCCCGCTGTAGTACGCGGCGTGCGGCGGTGTCTTCAAGTCTTCGACGCTCAGTTGGCCTTTCATTCATGCCGACGTTCATGCCTCCATTCAGCAACTGCGGGTCGCTGGTCTTTCCTGCGCCCGCCGCGCGAGGCGCTGAGTATGAAGCAGAGAATAAGAGAGACGAGGTACCTTGTTCCCACGGAGCCAGAATGTCAGGACAGACAGGTAGTAAGCGGTTGATTACTCCTCTCTTTTAGCTGAAACCGTCGACAATGCCAGGAAGGGAGGAAGTACAGAGTGTTGAGACCGGGCCAGACGGGGGGACCCTTACCTGGTGGTGTTTTTTTTGTTGGGGTGCAGGTGGAGGGCTGCCGCTGCCAGAGTCAGGAACGGACTCTGCTGTAGACACCTGGGGGTCGGGACCTCGTTTAACTCCTCTTTACACCCCCACTATCCAGCATTAGGACCTGGCAGGTCCTGCTTCGTAAATCGTTACCGAAGGAGTAAGTGGAACGGAGTGTCTACCTAAAGTCAATAGAGTGGCCCGCTTCTTTTACAAGGCACTTTATTTAAAAAAAAAAAAAAAAAGATTTTATTTATTTGTTCATGAGAGATACAGAGAGAAAGAGAGAGAGAGAAGCAGAGACACAGGCAGAGGGAGAAGCAGGCTCCATGCAGGGGGCCCGATGTGGGACTCGATCCCGGGCCTCCAGGATCACACCCTGGGCTGAAGGCAGGTGCTCAACCGCTGAGCCACCCAGGTGTCCCTAGCACTCCATATTCTATAAAGTATTTCTCTGTACATTGGTTGGGTAGTCACAATGCCATCTTGAAACACTGTGTCTCATCTCACTTTTTAATTTTTTTTTTTAAACACAATTTTTTAATTTTTTTTTTATTTATTTACGATAGTCATACAGAGAGAGAGAGAGAGAGGCAGAGACACAGGCAGAGGGAGAAGCAGGCTCCATGCACCGGGAGCCTGACGTGGGATTCGATCCCGGGTCTCCAGGATCGCGCCCTGGGCCAAAGGCAGGCGCCAAACCTCTGCGCCACCCAGGGATCCCTAATTTTTTTTTAAGATTTTAATTTATTCATGAGAGAGAGAGAGGCAGGCAGAAGGAGAAGCAGATGGGTACTCATCCCAGGACCTCAGGATCACGACCTGGGCTAAAGGCAGACGCTCAACCACTGAGCCACCCAGGTGCCCCTCTCAGTTTCTTAAATAGATTTATCTAAGTGTCACCGAGAAGACTCTTGAAGTACATTTACGTTATTTTTTCTAAAACCAAAAGGGAGGGGATCCCTGGGTGGCGCAGCAGTTTGGCGCCTGCCTTCGGCCCAGGGCGTGATCCTGGAGTCCCGGGATCGAGTCCCACGTCGGGCTCCCTGCATGGAGCCTGCTTCTTCCTCTGCCTGTGTCTCTGCCTCTCTCTCTCTCTCTCTCACTGTGTGCCTATCATAAAAAATAAAAATTAAAAAAATTAAAACCAAAAGGGAATGATTTTAATGTTAGCGCAAAGCACCGTAGGCACTCCCATGCTTCCCGAAACCACTTTCCAAAGTCATCATCCACTTTGTATGACAGAAAATGGGAGGAAAATTAGTGGAGGGCAAATAGATGAAGTCCAGAGCATTCATGTCTGTCAGGCCTCTGTACACACTGAGTCCTAATAATATAATTTAGTGCCCAGGTTCCTACTCCATTAATTCCTTTTTCTAAAGTAGACTGTTTTTCACAAATTAGATGATCTCTGTTATCAGGTTAACAGGGATCACCTGTAAAATACATGGTTGGATTAAATGTGCTATAAGGTTCCTTAAACATCAGTGACCTATAATTCTGTGATGCAAGCTTGCAGAAAAGGCAAGCTTTCGATGCTTCTGTTTCCTATCCAGAAAAAAAAAAAAAGCATGCTTCCTCAGATCATCCCGTCCTGGTAATTAAACCCCCAAAATATGGCACCAGTACCAAACTAGAATAAGGTTTAAATTTATATTCCTAGCTTTAGAGGATGAACAAAGAACACGTGATACTTTTTGGAAGGATACAATGTCGTTCCTTGAAAACCATTCAAGTTCCTATTCAGGTGAATGCATTTTGTGGAAGAAACTGCCCTCGGCTGATTCAGCTGGCCTTTGTTCTGCCCTGAGGCATTCATATATCTCCTGTGTTGTGGCCATTGAATTTCATTACTGCAGGGTTTCAATGGCGAAGTCCCTGACTTCCTTCCAAGTGGTATTGAAAAGGCTCATTCATGAGTGTTTTGAAGGACTTTAGATACCCTTCACAGAAATTACAACACTTTCATGAACTGAACTCTTCCCCCAGGAAGTTGTAAAGCTGCAGGGAGATGCCTCTGGAGCTCTGCTGCCATGGTTTCTGAGAGTGTGGGAGGGTTGTGTTAGACAGTGAACATCACTAACCACACAGTCACAAGGAAGCACATTGCAGAAAATGTGCAGGCTTTACACGTCCCAGAATAGATCCTGTCTCTCTGAGGTAGGAGTTCGGAAGCTGGGAAAAGCACCAAAATAATCACAGGGGGGTGCTAAATGAACTCCCTAGAATCCATTATTGTGAGAGCGCTGGTAACTGTTGTTAAGAGAGAGGTGCTTCCTGAACATGGTCAGCAGCAGGTCCTTGCCCATCTTTAACAGCAGCCTGAATCTGCAGGTGCTGGGATCCGGGATGGGAGGCAAAGCATAAAGGAAAGAATAGTGGTCCTGGAGTCGGGAGACCGTGGTTCTATCTCAGAGAGACCACAAATAAGTCACATGAACCTGGGCAATGCATGTCATCTTCCAGGGCCTTTGTGTTTTCATCGACAAAATGAAGAGAATGGACTCTAAAGTCTGTCTCAGGGATGCGTGGTTCTCGTAAGAAACTGAGAGGGAAAAGGTCTCAGAGTTGGAGTTGCTTAGAAGGAGGAATTTAGGTGGGTGCCCCAATAAGAGGCATGGGTGGACAGGAGTGAATGTGAGAGCACTGAGCATCTCTAAGTGGAATGAAGGAGAGCGGGGAATGATGATAGATGGACACTGAAAGCTTACCTCCTTGTGCAGAAGGCCACTCTTGAACTGAAGCGTGAGCAGAAGCTAGGGCTAAACTAGTTTTTACTCCATAAACATCTGCAGCAGATAACATCTTATTATACTGAAGGTGATGTGAGCATAGTGAGGTGATAAGCACCAGGCCTCCAGAGACTTCCTACCTAACCGGGAAACAACCACAAATGACTCTAACAAAAAGCAGAGTGTGATGACTGATGTGGGTGACTTTTGGTACTCCTAAAGGGCTGTGGCAGAAAAAAAAGGAGAAATCAAGTTTGATTGGTAGGCTTGTCCTGTGGAAACGGAGTGGTGAGGAAAAGGTATGAAAGCTGATAAACGGGTTGTTCCAGATTATGGGGAATCTCAACGTCCCCATACTGCAATCTGAATTTTATTCTATATACAAGGGGTAGCCAATTGAAGATATTTTTAGAAGAGGTGTAGGACATGATGAGTAGCAGTATGTGATGGTAAGAGACCTCAATTTAATATAATGAAATAAACAATAGCTCGCAAACTGATTTGTAACGGAGGGGATAACAATGAGTATTGTAGGCGGGTTTTGTTAGTCCTCAGAGTTGCGATGAAAAGGTCCTGAGAGTCTTTGTTGTGTCCTTAATAAATAAACTTTTAAAAGACATGTGTAAAGGATAGGCAGCGCAAAGAACCAGGAGATTGGGGCACAATGGATGAATGCAGTATTGATTGTTAAATTTGCAGTGCTTGGAAGAGCTATGTTTTTTTTTTTTTTGTTTTTTGTTTTTTTGTTGTTGTTTTTATCAGAGTGAATACGATTAGGTGATAGACTACAGGATCTGAAAGTTAATGAAGGATAAAGTGCATGGAGGGGAGTGGCGAAACAAGGATGCTTTTAAGCAAAGGAAGGCTAGTAAGGAGAGAAAACAAAGATAAACTTTATGTAGTGAGGTAGGGAAGAAAATTTTCGTGCCAGATGATTTTATTGTGTTGAGTTCAATAAAGAATTTGAAGGGAGTGAAAGCTAAGAAGAGGTGATTGCATTTAGGGGGTAGGAAGTCACCAGTGATTATCCAGCTTATAGAACAGCAAACTGTTTCCTTGGCAGAGATTACCAACTTCAGAGGTAGCTTATTTTTCTAACAGCCACAGGGGCTTAGTTACTTCATCTCTTTATCTCTAACTCTGGCTAAAGGAGAAACTTTTTATAGAGAAAAAGCAGCTTTCTTTTTACTGGGACTTAACAATTATGGAAAGAAGAACTAACTTCACTAAGCTTTAAGTGTTCTATTGCTTGTTTGAATGTAAGAAAAGATATTTCTGTTTTCAGTATTTTCCAATATTTACATTGGGCCAAAATCTACCTTATAATGGCATATGAGAAGATATTAACATAGTTAGCTAAAAAAGGTAGGTACTGGTGCACCTGGTGGCTCAGTGGTTGAGCGTCTGCCTTCTGCTCAGGTCGTGATCCCAGGGTCCTGGGATCAAGTCCTACATCAGGCTCCCTGCAGGGAGCCTACTTCTACCTCTGCCTATGTCTCTGCCTCTCTCTCTATCTCTCACTTTCTCTCTCTCTCTCTCTCTGTCTCTCATGAATAAAGTCTTTTTTAAAAATGTAGGTACCATAATGTTTTTAAATCTCGCTCTTCATGTGTGTGTATCATTCATAACTTTTTAAAGATATAATTGGCATATAATGTTAGTTTCAGGTGTACAATAGGGTGACTCAATATTTGTGTATGTTGCACAATGATCATTTCTTTTTTATTTTATTATTTTTTTCACAATGATCATTTCAAGTCTAGTTCATATCTGTCATGATACATAGTTTTTTTCTTGTGATAAGAACTTTTAAGATCTACTCCCTTATCAACATTCAAATAAGCAACACAGTATTATTAACTATAGTCATGATGCTGTATATTACATTCCCCTGACTTACTTATTTTATGAACAGAAGTTGTACTTTTTGACCTTTTTTACCCATTTCGCTCACACCCCACACACCTCCCATCTCTGGCAGCCACCAATCTGTTATCTCTCAGTGAGCTTGATTTTGTTTTTGTTTTAATTCCATCTATAAGTTTCCATCTTCTTGACTCTAATGCATTTAGGACTTGTCTGCTAAATAAGCGACCATCTTTATTTTTTTTAAGGTTTTATTTATTTATTCATGAGACGCAGAGAGAGAGGCAGGCTCCATGCAGGGAGACGATGTGGGACTCAGTCCCAGGACTACATGATCACGCCCTGAGCTGAAGGCAGGTGCTCACCTGCTGAGCGATGCAGGTGTCCTGCCACCATCTTTAAAACAATGAGAATGGGCATTTGTGGAAAAGATTATCCATTTCCTTTTTCTCTTTTCTGAGAGAACTATTATTGGAGCAACTAAGTGCCCAGATTTAAAAACAAATCTCTCTGGTTCCTCAGTCTGGTCCTCAGACTCCCCAATCTCTCTGGACCCTGAATGTATCCATATGACTGAGATGGAGCACAAATTGTTGGAAGGAAATTCCAGAAAGTTTACCTGAAAGAGGAACAAACAGCTAAGAAAACCCCTTTTGGTCTTTCCTTCTCCTTTTCTGTTTCTTTCATAGGATGTGACATTATGGCTATAACTCCACCAATTTCAGACAAATGAAGAGACCTCAACTATGGCTGAGCATGAGGATAGGAGCTTGGGTCTCTTTTGTTTTGTGAAGCCGCCGTGTCATGCTTAAACAGCCACATCTGGATTTCTTTTACATGAGAAAATAAATATGTGTTTCAGCTACGTTATTTTGGGTTTTCTGTTATTGTAGCAGAACCTAATTTTGACACAGTACGACCTAAATAACCAAGAGGAACTCTTCATGAAGGAAGCTTGTTCTGTCCATATGCCTTATTTAAATAAAAACATTTTCATTTCTCTGAGACTCTTTTTCTCTAGAAGAGTTCAGAAGACATTAGACCGACTACCTGGACATTTTGAGTTGTTTAAATACTCTTGGTTTCATTTGGACATGAAAAATATATCTCAGATGACCAAATATTTCTTGGTTTTTTTTTTTTTTTTTTTTTTTTTGGCACAACTGAAACAGTTCCTTAAAAGGTTCTATGAAATAAATATCCCCAGGGTTATTGAGTAGCTGAGTTAAAAGTACCAACCAGTGATCTTCATAAGGGAAAAACAAGAGCAGGTCAACAAAAGGACAAATCGTTGGAAGGACCTGGTACCCTAAGTCCAGGGACCTGGTACCCCAAACCCAGAAAGCCATCACATTGAGATTTATGAACTCAGCTGAGACTGACATCTTTCTTCCCGTCTTTCCCAACCCTGACTCACCCTTTCCTTACAGGTTTCCCAAATCTTAGGTTCAATGAAGCGCATCCCGGCCCCTTCCTTCCCCTTTGATCACTTTGTAACTAGATATTTTACTAGCTTCTTCTTAGCTTTCTCCTCTGCTCCAGTTCCTTCTTCAAAGTTGCTGTTATTCCAGGCCCCTTTCTTTCTGTTAATAGTATTTCTTCTTCTGTTGGTGGATCATTTAATAACAAAAAGACTAAAAATATCCTTGGGGCGCCTGGCTGGCTCAGTCAGTAGAGCTCAAGCCCGACGTGGGAGGTAGAGATTACTTAATACATAAAAGGCTTTCAAAATGAAAAAATTAAATTAGAGCGCCTGGATGGTTCAGTGGGTTAAGTATCCGACTCTTGGTTTGCTCAGGTCATGATCTCAAGGTCATTAGATCAAGCCCCACTCTGGGCTCCTTGCTCATCAGCATGTCTGCTGGAGAGTATCTTTCTCTCTTCCTCTGCCCCTTCCCCTCTCACACAACACGTTCTCTCTCAAATTAACTAATTAATTAATAAATTAAATTAAAATATTTTTTTCTCTCCTTGTTCATCAGCCAGTCACCAAATTCTACTGATTTAGGGTCCAAAATGTCTCTCAGATTGAGCCCTCTTGTTTCCATCCTCATCTGCATCTCCGGAATCCAGACCTTCATGGCCACTTGCCTGAACTGTTTTTATAGCCCTCTGATTCCTCTTCCTTCTGATTCTGGTGCCTTCCCTCCTCAATCATTCTACACATTGCTGCCAGAATTGTCTTCCTGACAGTGTGACTTCTGTAAATCTTTGATACAGTTTCACTTCTTTAATGTGTTCATTTAAGGGCCATCTTATAGGTGCTCATTAGGTACTAGGAGTAACTGGAGGCCCTGTGGACATAAATATAAAGAAGACCCAGTGCTGGTGGAGATGGTGGCTTACCAAGACATAAACAGGTAAAAATGCTACAAAGGTGCACAGCCGGAGATAATACCACAGCTTTGGGATTTGGAAAAGTCTATTTGTAGGTAACATCTGAGCTGAGTCTTAAGAGCAAAATAGGTTTTAGCTGGCTGATGATGGTGGAAAGGGAGAAGGGAGGAAGTAACCTGAGCAAAGGAAACATCACCAAAGGTTTGGGAGCAGCAATGACTTGTGTGTACAGAGAAACACAAGAAGCTGTTTCTAGAAGGTGAAGTGTGACACCATGGTCAGAGGCAAGTCCAGAGAGGTGGACTGTGTGAACTTAAATGTCCACGGATTTCATTTCCTCCAAAAATTCAGGGCTAATCAATATTGCTTAGTTCACTTAAAGGTGAGAAAGGTCTCCTTTTGTTTATCTTCTTCATGAATACCACTTTTCACATCTTGTCTGCAGTCTAAAGGGCTGCAGGGAGGGGACAGAATTTTGTAGGTTGGGAATCACAATGTGTTAATCCGGCCTAGCTCCACCTGACCTGCTTGACGATTCCCACTAGAAGCTAGATTTGTGTTGTATGTTGGCTTTCTGTTCCTCGTTGGTAAAGCTTTCCCAGACTACTAGAGTTCATGGTTGAGGAACTTCCCCTTACATGTTCAGTGAAGCATTCCCCTCTTTCAGGTCCTTCCATTTCTCCTTCCATTTACTGGCATTAGGAGACCCAGTGTCTCATTCTTCTTGATGTAGTTTTGTTCCATTAGGTGTTGTCAGTGAGAAGCGTCCTTCCAGCAGCCACTGATTTGATTGATACTTGATGCATCTTTCAAATCTTTTTTACAAATCCAGTCCTTACCACTATCCTAGTTAGTTGAGTATTTTGATCTCAGCCATGCTCCATTCTTCTCTTGCTTGCATGAAATGGCACCTGGAAGATTTGAGGCCATTCAGGACTATAGACCTGCATAGAAGTATGCTGGAACATTCTAAAGTAGTTAATTACTGAACACCTGCTATATGCTACTCCTTTACCCTGTACACTTTGAAATCCTTTAAAACTCAGCTCATTTCTCACCTCCTTGGTGAAAGACCTGATTTCCTCAGGCAAAAATCAGTCTCTTTGAACCCCATAGCTTTTTATCTGCATATCTATTATAAAGCGTAGCACATTGCATTATATGGTTAACTGTTTGCATTTCTGTCTCCCCCACTAGATGGTGATGTCCTCAAGGGCAGGGATTATGACCTGTTTACCTTTGTGACATTCATTTATTCACTCATTCAATACATTTAAAAAAATACCTACTAGGTATCAGGAGCTAAACACACACACACAACTCATACTCAGTACACAACAGAGACACGTCTATGCTAGTAGATAATAGACTCCAATGAGAGGTAAATAAACAGATCAATTATAACTCCGTGGGATCCCTGGGTGGCGCAGCGGTTTGGCGCCTGCCTTTGGCCCAGGGCGCGATCCTGGAGACCCGGGATCGAATCCCACATCGGGCTCCCGGTGCATGGAGCCTGCTTCTCCCTCTGCCTGTGTCTCTGCCTCTCTCTCTCTCTCTCTCTCTCTGTGACTATCATAAGTAAATAAAAAATTAAAAAAAAATGTTCTTAAAAAAAAATTATAACTCCGTTTTGAAAATGCAATGTTGAACATACAGAGGAGCACATAAAAAGGGCACCTCACTTTCAGAATCAGAGAAGGCTTCCTGGAGGAAGTATCCTCTAAACTGAGGTCAGAAAGATTGAGTAGGTGTTAGATATAAAGTGGATGGAGGATAGGATGGGAACAAGGAGGGCAAAGTATTCCGAGGCACACAGGAAATAGCTCAAAACCCAAGAGGAGAAGACATAGTGTATGCTGAGATTGAATATCCTGTAGCCTGTCTAGAGCTAAGAGGAAAATGTCAAAGCTGGAGATGTAAAGGGGGCAATATCATAACAGACTCAAAGATAGGTACTGCAGTTTATTCAAATTTGTTTCTTTCTCCAGTGCCTCGCAAAGTACTTGGCTAATAAGTAGCTGGCTAATAAACATCTGTGGAAGAGAGGGAGAAAGAAGGAATGGCTCAGCACTCCAGTGGGTGGTATATAAATGACATGAAATGCAGATCCTGCCTGCCCTCAGGGCTATTGAGAGACAAGACATATCTGTCAAAATATGTAAATAAAAATGGGCCCCTTTGATTAAATACCAAAAGAGAGCAATGCAGGCAAACATGGTTAACTCTGTAGAGATTGCTGTCACCAGGACTTGTCAGGGAAGCCTGCATCAAGAGGATGAGGTCTGAACTACATCTGTAAGATAAGTATGGTTTAAGCAGGAAGAAATGAAAAAACAGATTTTGACATTTTACTTCATGGAGGTGAGAGGCAAGGTGAAGGAGGAAGAGAATCCCTTTTAAACTATTCTTGGTTCCTCTTCCTATCAACTTCTGTTTAATGAAGAGGTGTTTTGAGAACATCAGCATGTTTGCTAGAGAGATCCGACTGCATAGAGCATGAGACTCTGTCTAGAAAGACCTGTTCATGGAATCAGAGCCCAAGAGACTCATGTTCATACACTTGACCCAAAGTGAATATACTCTTTAGTATGGATGTGTGTTCTGAAAAAAAAAAAAAAAAAAAAGCAGTACAAAAATACAAAATATGTTCAGTGTTAATTGTTCAACTAAAATAAATCCATTTTCCAAAAAGGATCAATTTTGCTTTACAAAAGCAACCAATACCCTACAAATTTGAAGCAATAATTAACCAAGAAAATTCTAGAACAACAAGTCTGTGGATAGTTTCTTGAGCCCGTGTAATGGAATTTAACTTCTACTATCCTGGCTAAGTCTTCTATTAGCTGTGCTGGTATTGTTGCCTATTGTCTTATAAACGCATTCCAGTTGCAGCTTGCATATCACAATTGGATATCTTTGATTTTTTCCCCCAATTTTAGTGCAGGAAATTATTTTCTGTCAATGTAATGGTTTATATGTTATGAAATTGAAACTTATTTTCTCCTCGTTTATTTTCTGTTAAGCTTTAAATTTTAAAAAATTTCAGCATTCTTTTTCAGTCTTTGCTATTGTTTGCAACACTCCCAAATTTAGAATAATCCTTAAATTTTCTTATTCAGCGTTTTTCCTCCTCCTCTCTTAGAAAATCCTTAAATTTTTGCCCATCACATTCATGCTTTTTATTTATAGACTGTGACTTAAAAGTGTGAGTTCACTGTAGAATTTCAAAATATACTTGTAGACAAATATACTGACCAGATTTATTATTTCCCTGCACATCCTTCTCTTAAGCAGGCTAGCCATACTGTTATATATTGCTTTATAATAATTTTAGCAGTTTTAAATCCTCCTGCCCAAGTCCATTTGAATTAATACTGAAAATAAAATTTTATAAGATATGATCATGAGATAAATTTTTTTTAAGATTTTTATTTATTTATTCATGAGAGACACACAGAGAGAGAGAGTCAAAGACAGGCAGAGGGAGAAGCAGGCTCCATGCAGGGAGCCCAATGCAGGACTGGATCCTGGGTCTCCAGGATCATGCCCTGGACTGAAGGTGGCGCTAAACCGCTGAGCCACCCGGGCTGCCC